CTGAGCCACTTGTTTTGTTTCATTCATCAAACTCAACTTACTCACGTTGTCGCATTAGCACTCGGGCATGCTTCAAGTGATTCTTGTATATTTCTTCAATGGAAAAAGAAGCCAGATCAAAGGCTTGACGCAGGGAAAGTAGCACTGCTGACTTGAGGGAGATCGAGGGTTCGATTTTGCTGATGGAACAGCCAGTCCTTCTGCGAATAATTCATTCGTTTCGATGACAAAATGGTAATGGTGCATGTTAAGTAATCCTCAGAAGAATGAACCGTCGATAGTTTTGCCAGCGAGTGGTTGCTTTTGGCATCTACTGTCACTTGGACAAATTTTAAAGCTCTACGCCCTTCAGTGAGTATGAATTCGAAAAGTGTTTTGTATTTTGTTTTGTTTGAAATGCTTACTTCCACTAATCATCTGAATACTAGTACTAGGCACGGCACCCTTACGTGGCATCCATTTCGTCAGCAGCTGCTGCAGAGGTTGCGGGAACGAAGCAAGGGCGGCTTCTCGAATATCGTCCTGTAGCACGCAGACCGCGACGATGACCGCCAGCGGGTTTAAATTGCTGCTGATCGTAACGTAGGACACCACGAACTCCGTGACACGCCACTCATATCCACTGCTGATATAGCGCCAACAAAATGGTGCTATATGTAAGACTGTTGTAAGTAGGCATGAAATACACATGGTATTTGTAAGCTTTATTTGTCGTTGCTCGAATGCTGCATTTGCTGTTTGGCCCTGCAAATATTTTATCGGTGTATCAGAAACACAGGCGCATGTTTGTCTGTCTTATATCCAAACTGTATTAAGATTACCACTTGAATTGAGCAAAAAAAAATGTATTGGATCGACGTAAGAAACAAAATTCAACCGTATAATGTATTTTTCATGCGGATTTGTCCATATATGCAAAGGCAAAAACGATATTGTGACAACCTCATGAGTGTATGTGTGTGCATTTTTGCGTGTGTGTGTGCTTCTGTCCGAATATTTTAACTCGGCAAACAAGCAAGCTCCGGTGCTAAGATTTTGTCAGTGTGTTCCTTGGCCAATTACCATCCCAGGACACGATACCAACTGTCATCCATGTCTTGGCTCTGCGTACGAGCACGTGAAAGTTTTGGCGGTAAAATTGCTAACGAGAGTCAGAAAAGCTAGGGAGCTAAAATTTTGAGGGGATGTACCTCGTCCACGTGAAACTCCAGTTCCCAGGTATGCGTGGTCCCCACGTACGTCCCGGTGAGGGTTTCTGGCGAGAAAATCACTAACTTGAGATCCAGGAAAGCAGGGAGGCTGATATTTTAAGGAAATGCTCCCAGCCCATGTACAACTCAGAGATTTCAAACTCAGCCCCAAGTATGCGTGATTCTCACATAGAGTCCGGTGAAATTTTTTGACGGAAAAATGGCTAGCTCGGGAACCAGAAAAGCTAGGAGCCTAAAATTTTAAGGGGATACCACAGCCCATGTACAGCTTAACTAGGTTACCTCTTTTCCTTATGCTTTCACAACGCCCACGCTGGCAGTTTACATGTCACCACCAAGACTGTTCATTACGTCAACCATGCGACAGGATTTGGTCACGGTACAACCTACTCTTCTTCGGAAATCGGCAGTATGCTGCGCACGGTCGTCGGCGAAGCCTATGTGCGTTTCAGCGGCTACATCTTTCGTCAAACCAATGGTATTCCCATGGGCGGTAACGCTAGCTCCGACATTGCCGATCTCACCCTCTCAGTGCTTGAGTTCAAGTTCAGCCGAATTCCCAACAACCCTCCCGTCCTACTATGTCGATACGTCGACGACGTACTCATGCTTAACTGTACGGATCCTCATCTCCCTCTATCACAGATATACGGCCAACACCTGGACATCGAAA